CCCCAAAACCCCAAAACCCCAAAACCCCAAAACCCCTTTTAGTATCGAGATTTAGATAATTTATTACCAAAATGGAACCATATTTAAGCCTCCAAGGAAAACTACGACAAGAGAAGGAACATGTGCTTAGTTAGTGAAATACATAAGCTTTTAGGCCGTGTTTATTTACACCAAAATGCGAGGAAACTTCAAGAAATGAGGGAGAAAAATTATTATCTTCTTGAAAGAATCTTAAAATTGGAGAAACAAAATGTATATGTCTGTTTCATATCTTTAGTCTGAGATAAAATAACTTGAAATCAAGGGATTCTCAGCTTAAAAATTATATAAGAGTTAATGATCAACCTCTGAGAGCAAATAGTGTCAATAGAACAAGAAATTGTAAATTTTTGAAATAATTTTCAGCTGAGAGACTTGATTACACCATGCCTCAAAATACTCATTTACCTCAGATCCAGCCGATCAATAACCCATACTTTGCAAAGAGTAAAGAGTTCTTGATAGTCTAAAGGCTAGCTTTTATATAGGTCAAATGAATAACCACTCTTTTGAGTCACCTCAACCTCAACCACAACTTGTTCCAATATTCTATACAACTCCTGACAGAAGAAGGTAAGAAACTCGTTAGTTAAGCTTTTAGAAGTAAGGAACTAGCTGATCTTCAGGAAGGAGGCCATCCACCAGTAGTAGTAGCTCAAGCAGTTCAGATTCTAACAGAATCACCATAACTAGCAGCATGCTAGAGAGCTCAGAGACTCCTATAGAGTAATTTCTTTTGCGAATTTTTAGAGAATTTAAGCCGGAAAACCTTCCTAAAAAGCCCATAAGAGACAAGAGAGTTAGGTTCAACTTTGAACAAAAGGATTCTGAAGCTCTTAAGCCAAAGGTAATATTAAATAACCAGTTTAGGTCAAAAAGAGTTTACTAAAGAAGCATCATTCACAATTTAATTTCGAGTCTGACTGGCCAAAGGTAAATCATTCCACTTATTTCCTCCTTGTGTATCCTGCATCATCAATTTTTATGAACAAGTTACGAATGTCTGAAGGGTAGTAAATGAAATATAGTCCAAATAAGCTGACGTTGGCATGGATTGCAAAGTCACTATTTTCCCCAATAGAGCTTATCCTGCTTAATAAGACTCAGTCTCTAAATTTCAACATGGATAAAGCAGATAACACCTTGACTAGAACAGGTCAGACCAGAATAATGTATAAAATAAAAACTTATATTGACAAGATATTATTTGCAATTGTTGAGAATACTAGGAAGCACCTGATGGGAACTGTTCTCCTAAAATACTTCAAAGAAGTGTAAGTGTCGTCTGTTATGACTCGTATAGAACCACTGAAGGCCTTTATGTAGGTAAGAACCTCCTTTGCAATTTTAGCTAGCCAGATTTTCACTGATTTTGAACTAGCAAGAGTTAAAATTAGCAAGAGCAGAGAACTATGAGTAAACTGATTTTTTTATGATTCTTATTAGGAAGTTAAAGAATGGCAAAAGAAGATGATCCTCGCAATGTTTATTATCGGGAAGATCTTTGTTATCAATATTATCATAAATAATGACACAAAGGGGACCTCAAAAATGTTCTCGTCCAAACCAAACGATATCCAGAAGAAGTAAGCCATCAGCTTGATTTACAGAAATCTAAAAATAATTGGGAGTATCATTTATTACAAATTATTGGAGTATTTAAGAAATAACACTAAGATTATTTCTGATGAGAAGGCCTCGCCTGAAGATGACGTGATTTCAGAGTCCTTGATCCCATACAAACATTTGAAACCCTTAGTCGATGACAAACTTTGGTCGGAATATATTAGCGGGATCTTCCATACATGGCTCACTCAATTAATTGACCAGATTTCTACCAAATTTTAAAATATTCAACATAAATTTCTGAAAATGGGGTTTTGGGGTTTTGGGGTTTTGGGG